CTGTTCTTGCAGAGAGTGTTGGAATGAATTTCTTGTAATATATGTTTCCTTGGAGACAAGCTGTATTTTCCCTTAGACCAGATCCTTGTGTGTGGGTAGAACATGGTTTTCTTTTCTGGCAGCTTTCTTGGAAGAAGAAAGACAAGCAATCAATCAATCAGTCAATCAATCAATCAATCAATCAATAAATAAATAAATAAATAAAAAAGAAAAGAACCCAAACCCAACAACCTGCAAAGGATATTGCTTTATCACTCATGGCTTCTGGGCAGGGAGAAAGAAAAGTCCAGGTGGAAAAGTTGTCATGTTTGATGGTTCTTGCAGGGTGGTTTACATGACTAGCCCCTTCTCACTGGAAGCAGTTTGCATTTGGAATTGAAAAAAGTACAGTAACTTTATTTAGTTGATGAGTTTGAGCCTTTTCCCCCTCTCCGTGGAACCATTCATGACCAATTGTATCCAATAGTGCAAAATGGTTTTGACTTTCTTTGTACAGGAACTTAGGTAGAACCTGATCCTATCTAACTTCTGTAGGATTCAGCTGGCTGTAATCCTTTTATTTTCTTCCAGAGAAGGGTTGATTAAGTTAAGAAAAAGTTTGATTACTTAAAAAAATTTTTGGAGCAAGCTTTTTTTTCTCGCTACTGGTTGTTACTGAACCTAACTGGGCCTAACTGTGTGTCGATAGGAGATTAAGAAAGGACACAGGGTCAGGTGTGCTGGGCGCTTGGGTGGAGACGCACAGCAGCCTCCTTGTTTCTTTCTCTATTATTCTCTTCATTTACTCTGCTTCTTTTCTCTGTCTTTATTCTTTAGGGCCTTACTCCTTTACAGTTCTTTAAAACCTTGCTTCTAAAGTCTTTCTTCTTTCTATTCTTTAAAACCTCACTTCTGAAGTCTTGTTTTCTGTTCTTTAAAGTCTCTTTCGTTAGACTCACTCTGTCCCATGTTTTCTCTTAGCTGTCCTTTAGCATAATCTCTCTTAAAGTCTTTACCCCCAGGCTTGCACTGTCCCATGTTTTCTCTTTAGCTTTCTTAAAGCCTTAGTGCTCAGACTTTCAAACAATAGCCATGCATAAAAACTGCATATGCATAACTCTTAAAGTCTCAGTCCTTAGACTTGCACTGTCCCATGTTCTCTTTAGCTTTCTTAAAATCTCGACCCTCAGACTTGCTAGCAGTTCCCCTTCAGCAATCCTCCCTTCAGCCAGCAATTCATTTTCCCCCTTTCAGCAATCTCCCTCCAGCAATCCTCCCTTCTAAAAGCCTCCTGCATCCAAAAAGCCTTCCCTGTCAAAAAGCCCAAAAGCCTGTCATCCTCCTTCAGCAAGTCTTTTATATCCAGTGGTAAACAAGGTGGAGCAGCAGTTCTTGGAGAGGGATGTGACACTTAACAAGAGGAACCTGCGTTCTTAGGAAAAGCAGTTGCTCTGCATCTTATTCTCACCTTATTCTTGGGTGGGGCTGTGCTGAAGTCAGCCTATAGAACACTGGGCACAGTTGTGCTTATGTCCAGTTCTCATGGGCTTCTTATAATCCACTCCCCACAAATGTTGTAGATTATTTTTAAGAAACAGAAATCAGAATATATTAAAAAGTAAATCATTCATAGTTCTGCCACTCAGATGCCAGTGTTCACATTTGGATATCTATTTGTTCAATTAACTAATTCACTTAGTAAATATTTGTAGGGCAGCTACTGAATGTTGGGAATGATATTAAGTATTAAGGATATGGCAGTTAAAATAGAAAAGATGATCCTGGTGTTTTGTTTATTAATAGATAGCTGTAAGGCTGTGAGTTTCCCTTTAACCCCTGCTTTAGCTGCATCTCACTTTTTTTTTTGGTCTTTTTCTTTTTTGGTGCTTTTGGGATTGAACCCAGTGCCTTGTGTGTGCTAAGAACACCTCACAAATTTTAATGTTATGTTTTCTTTGCTATCAGTTAAAAATATTTTCTAGTTTCTCTTGTGATTTTTAAATTGACCCATGCAGTAGTTTGAAGGATACTGTTTTAATTTCCAAACATTTTAGATTTTCCTAGCTATCCTAATGTTATTAATTTTTAATACTGTTGTAGTTAGGGAATGTATTCTGAATGATTTCATTCATTTTACATTCTAAGCCATGTGTTATGCCCTAATAAATGCTGTATCCTGGCAACTGTGTCATCTGCATTTCAAAGCAATTTCCCAAGCATATAACTATTAATGACAGAACTTTTGACGTTGCCAGAACTATGGCATTTGGTTCAGATAATTCTTTGTTGTGGGGCTGCCCTGTGCACTGTAGGATGTGTAGCAGTACGTGTGTCTTCTACCCATGTGTGTGGGTGTGTTGCATGGTCATTCTAGCAATTCCAATGCAATGTACAGTCTTCTCTCTTCACAGTCTGTTGCCGTCTCACATAAAATATGCTATGGTTGCTACATGTATTGCCAATGATAAAAACTTCACAGGGCCTTGTTCCAACTTTTCCTTTAAAGAACTTAAGTATTATTTTAAAAACTAAGGGGAAAGCCAAAACAACAATGCTGACAACCAGAGAAGCCACCCAAGTCCTTTGTGCTCCTACAGGTGAGTCTACTCCTTACTATTCAATATCCAGATCTCCAAAAGCCTGATTTCTCTTTGGCTTGAAGAACTTCCTTTAACCTTTCTTGTAGTGAAGGTCTGTTAGCAATGAATTCTTAACTGAAGATAGTTAAATAGTTTCTTTAAAATCCTAATCTGCTCATTCTAATGTCTGGGTCATCCCAGAATTGGACTCAGTTGGTTTTCTTTCATTTTAGAATGTCTCCCATTTTCCTGCTTCTTCACATACTGTATGTTTGAATTTTGACATTGACAGTGTTAAATTGAAGAGACTCTGGATTCTGTTATTTTCTTCTTCAGTGAGCATTGACTTTCTTTAGTTTTAGCAGGCAGTTATCTTAGATTCAAACCACAAATTCTGTTTATTGGGTGGTGGCTTGAATCTTGGCTCAACCCTTTTGTCCTCAGCTAAGTGGCTGTGTGGTTTAGCTTAGCAGTCAGCCAGACAAGGGCAGAGTTGGGGATACCATCTCAGACTCTCCGTTTTTTCCAGTGGATGTGGTTTTTCAGATTCATTCTTCTGGCTTTAATACCAGAATGACTGCATTTCCCCAGATAAATGCTGTGAAGCCACAAACTCCTGTGCTCCCCATCCACGTGTTTGTGTTTGTTCTCCAACACCATTTAGGTACCTACTCTTAGCATATGGTTTTCTAAATTTATAGGTATCTGGAGAAGTTTATAGTTTTTTGAAGGCACGTTAATATTAGTATGCTAGGATTTCAGTTATTACTGAAGCCAATCTTTTGAACTTTCAATTATAAAATGCATATAATGTTATGTGGTTGTATCAGTTCTCCATTGCTTTGCTACAAACCATGTCCAATACACTGAGGATTAAATGAGACTATCATTAGAGCCCATGCAACTATGGGTGGGCTAGGGGGAGACTGATCTATCCTAGACTTGGTTGAACTCTTGTGTTTGTGGGTAGCTGGCTCAGTCGTGTGTCACAGGTTGCCTCTGGGCTGTGCTTGGCTGGGGTGCCTGGCTGGGGTGCCTTACTTGGGATAGCCCTCTTTCTTGGGTCTCCCATATTTTTCCTGAAAACAGTGGGCTAGCCTGGGCTTAGCCTTCTTATGGTGATGACATACGTGCAAGAGAGCAGTTTCACAAGTGATTGCTGTCACCTATAACATGTCTTCTAAAATCCCACAGACCCAGGCAAGTCACATTCTCCCCCATTTATTGAATGCTTACTTTTTAAAACTCTTAAAATGTATTTCATCCATGCAACAACTTTATGAGATAAATACTCTTACTATCACCACTTTGCAAATGAGGAAACTGAGGTGTAGAGAGGCTAAGTAACTGGCTCCCAGTCATCTAATATACTTAGGTCAGGAACAGAATATGGGTCTGGGATGTCCGTCTCAGGACCCATGTTTGTGTATACCTATAAAAGAGTGTGTTCACAGCTCTGAATATTTCTTTAGATAATTCACAGATTTTGAGGTCCTGGCACAGCTGTCACACTTGTAAAGGAGTGCAATATTCATTATGCTGCCAGTTGACTGAGCACTTCAAGTTTATTGCTGGGCCAGCTTGTCCATCCACTCCAAGAGCAAGACAAACAACCCCAGGGTTGTTGGTAAACGAGTGGAATGTAAGCACTTGGTGAGCTTTGATAAGTAAGAGAGCCAGCACTGGAATGTTCTGACCTGGGAGGGCTGAGGAGTGGCTGGGGCCAGTGAGCTGGCTCAGCCAAGGACATCCACAGCATGGCAGCCTGTGTGGGCCAGGGCTCCAGGCCAACAGTGACTGTTACCACAGACAGCACAGGACTCTGCAAATAATGATCACTTCCGGGACAGCCGACAGCTTGATGGGTAGGTAATTGGTGTGAGACTTCAGCTCCCTGGGCCCACAAATGGTTTGCTCAACAAAGCATGGCAAAAAGGGAGTGAATTCAAGTGACTGGATTTAATGAATGGGCAATAGATTTTCTGTCTCTTGTCCTTTTTCCATTTCTGTCATTCTGCCAGTCTGGAGAACATGGATGCTTCTCTTATACTTCCTGTATTAAAATTGTAGCCGGAACAGAAGAGAAATCTGGTTGGGTTTTAGTTATTAAAGCTTTGAATTGGGCTGAGGATGTAGCTCAGTGGTACAGCACTTGCCTAGCATGCGCAAGGCCCTGGGTTCAATCCCAGCCCCCCCCCCCCAAAAAAGAAAAGACAGATAAAACTTTGAATCAACATTGTAATAGGAATGAGGCTGACTTGAGAATCTGTACGTTCTCTAGATTGGGATGATTCTGAAGTAACTGGTTCCGTGAGTACACCTGACTTCTATAGTTCCAGTGTTGGATTACCTGTAAGCACTCAAAGTTATAGCTACCATGTCTACTGTGTATTTTGTGCCTAATACACCTCCCCCGTTTTTTTTTTTTTTTTTTTGCTTCAGGTGAGTAGCAAAGATGAAGATTTTCTTGACCTTTCTGTTGATGTGGAGCAAAACACTTCTATTACCCACTGTCTGAGGTAATCTCATGAATTCTGACTGTGGTTTGACCCTTTCATCAAGCTAGTAAATATACGGGGTAAATAAAATCCTGTATTTCTTCAGGATGTAATCTTCCTTGCTCTGAGACCAATATTATCGTATTATTTTCTATTTCTTCTTTCCCAAGAGAGATTAAAAGTAAGTACAAGTGGTTTGGAGAAGAGGCTCACTGAGCAAAAGGGAGGATCAGGTGGAAATCAGTCACTAAAGTTAAAAATAAAATTTTAATCTTTAATACAGATGTATGCTTTGGACTTTCATCAGCCTTTCTCTCACATACACTCTCATGTGAGAGTTAAAAATTATTACAGATGCCTACCATTAACTCTTTCTTTTTCTGAGATAGTTTCTTGTATTTTTAAAAAAATTATGCACTTTGAGAACCAATGAGGGAATTGCCTTTTCCTCCATCTTTTTAGTATTCTGGGGAGATGATTCACGGAAGGAAATTCCTCCTCATTAATGCTGAGAGAAGGTAAGAAGCCCAGAGTGTAAAAAAATGTGCCCAGGATTACTGTAGATATTGCATATTGATTTGTGCATGGAAAATGTGCCCAGAGTTGCTGCAGAGACAAGATTCCCACTCTCCACTCTCTTTCAACAGAGGAAATGAGTACTTATAATGTGCTGGGGCTAGAGGAGCAAATGTCAGATAAGTCCCCTGCTCTGTCCTGCACTTCCATTTTAGTGAGATACACAACTGATCAGTGCAATGAAGGAAAGAAAACTGGTCTAGAGGGTGACTGCTGGTAAAGGTGCACATGTAGACTAGGTGGTCAGGGTGGGCCTCCCTGATGCACTGGTGTCACAGCTCAGGGACATTTTGTATTGTCATAACAAGGCACTATTGATTTGTATCAGGACAGTTCAGGTGACAGGACTATTATTTCAGGAGCACAGGTTACCTGGAGCGAACAGCAGCTGGGGAAGAGGCTCTTGTTCATTAGGTGTGGTATGTTGTATGAGCTGGGGGCTGATTGCTTTCCCACTGCCCAGAGGCCCACCCCTCCCCCACCCCACCCCCATAAGCTGGTCATCTCTTTGTTTGCAGTGTGTTTTGTAGGCCAAGATGGTCTCTTTCTCCTGCCTAATTCTGTTAAGGGCATAGGTTCCCAACACTACTCCAAAAAGAAGCTATTTTTGATCTCCCCAAGGTTTTATGATCACAGGGTGTGGAAAAAGCTGAGGATGAAATGTACCACCATGAATCACAGATGAGGGAATGGGGAAAAGGCATTATTTGCCCATTCTCCTTCTTGGTGGGAACTTGGGGTTGAGGAAACAGACAGCTTGACCTCTCTTTCAAGAAATTCCTGGGCTGTTCAAGTGGGCAGGTGGCCATGGCTATCGTGTTGAGATGAGGCAGATAAAGGCCTGAGTAGTTAGTTCTGACTTCAACCTTTGGAGAACCATGTTATAGAGAAATGTAAACCCATATTCACTCTCCTGCAGAAGGCAAAGGTGGGGGCATTTGGGAATGTTGGCGCTGGGATAGGTGAGTGTGCAATGGCCCGAGTGCCTTTTAAACATCATTAGGTTTCCATCTGACATGCACCCCCTCATCTTACATCACCCCCAAATGAGATCTTGACTGACTGACCTCCAGCTGCTCTCACATGTGCATCTAAAGAAAAGTCTGCCAGGAGTTGTCATGGAGAGTTCTGTGCTGGGGTGGGGAGCAGCTTTTGTCCTACCCACCAGAAGGAAGTGTAGGGAAGAGGCTCTTGTTCATTAGGTGTGGTATGTTGTATGAGCTGGGGGCTGATTGCTTTCCCACTGCCCAGAGGCCCACCCCTCCCCCACCCCCACTCCCATAAGCTGGACATCTCTTTGGGAAGAGATTCAATAGTTTTTTTTTTTTTTTTTAATCTCTGAATCAGAAAAGAAGGAATGATGTTGATCTTCCCCTTTCATGATTTAATTCAGTTTGTATCCATTTTATTTTCTTTGTTTTTAAATTCAAATTATCAATTTTCTTTAACATCATGTCTTTAGCTCATGTGATGTGAAATTTCTGTCTTTCATCTATTTTAATGACTTTTTAAAGAATCAAGTAAAATAGCAGATTTAGTCCTCACCACACCTCCTTCCAGTAGGACTTTTTGTTTTTTGCTTTTTAGTGCTCCTGGGGTTTGAACTCAGGACTCCACATGTGCAAGGCAGAAGCTCTACCACCTGAGTTGCTCAACCAGCCCAGTAGGGCTTTAGTAATGAATTATAATGTATTTTCGCTGAACTTTTGTCTCAGAGAAATGGTATAAATAGTGGTTAAATCCAGGGCATAGGTCTAGAGAAGTTGTAAATCCATACCGTAGCTGGGCTATGATTGTAATTTTTTAGACTCAGTGGTTCTGTGTCTTAGGCAGGGGAAGCCATCTGCCTGATAGCAGGACACACGCACAGAGAAAGATTTTTATTCTTTTAAAAAGGTCAAGAATACCCTCTGGCAAAAACTAAAAATATGTGCCATGCAGTTTATCTTCATTGTCCTTGCTTGGCCTTTCTGGAATTTTTTTTTTGTCTTCCTCTTGAGTGCCTTAGTCTCTGTGTAGCTCCTTCACAGAACCTTAGCTTTTTCCTCTGAGTGCTCAGGGTTTTAAACCCACCTTCCCCTCCCATCTTACTATCACTTACAATCCACACTTTCCCCATGCCAGGGAGGTCAGCCAGGGGTCCTAGGAAAGCAGCCTTTAAATTCTCCCCAAGCGCTTTCCATTTGAAAAATTAATCTTCTTTTGAAAGGAATCCTTTTCTACTTCTTTTGAGAAACTGCTTTTATTTAGTTTTTATGCACATCCATTCCTTCTGCTTATCTCTCCTGTTTCTGTGGCCAGCATTTCAGTTTTGACTAATGTTAATATATAGTACTTCCTAATACCTGACCCACAAGCCTTATTCATGGATTTAAAAAAATTTTTCATTAATACTTAAGCCAGTGGTTCTCAAACTTCAGTGTATATCAGAGTGGCTTGGGGATGTTAGTAAAAATAGAGGTCCAGGCCACATTTCAAGAGCTTCTTTGAAAACAGAGTGTGGTGGTATACACTTATATCCCAGCTACTTAGGGAGACATAGATAGGAGGATCTCAGTTCAAGACCAGCCGAAGGCAAAATCATGAGATTCTATCTGAAAAATAGCTAAAGCAAAAAAGGACTGGGAGTGTGGTTCAAGTGTCAGAGTACCTGCCTGGTGAGCTTGAGGCCCTGAGTTCAAACCCAGTACTGCACAGTGAGTCCAGCCTCTGTCTTTAATTTGTACTCTGGTGATTCTAGTACCATCCACACTCTAGCTCTGCTACTCACACAGAGGTCTGTGGGCTAGCACTGTTGACATCACCTGGGATCTCATTAGAAATGCAGAAGCTCTAGAAACAGCCTGCATTCTGGCAAGATTCCCCAGGTGGTTCAGGTACACATTTGGGCAGCAATGGAACAGCTGTTCTCAGTCCTGGCAGCAGTGTGACTTCTGAGAAGTATGAAATGCAGTAATGCCTGGGTTTTACCCTGGTTCTGATATCGTTAACAGCGGTGGAAGGGGGTGGGCATTGAAGTTGATTTTAAACATCCTCAGATGGTTCTATGAGCAGCCAGGAGACGAACCTCTAACCTAGATCCTCGAGTGGAGCTTCCCAGCACCAGGGAACATGGGTCACATGTGTGCTGACCATTCAGCTCCTGGGAGGCCAGCCAGGGCCTGCACTGCCACAGCTGCACGACCAGCATAGGAGCATCCACATCAGTTTACCCCAGCGTGCTTCTCACATGGTGTCAGCTTCTATGTGGGTCACAGCATGGAAGTTATCAGAAAAAAAAAACAAAAAAGAAGCATTGTTAAGATTTTTTTCCCTCAAATCAGTTTTTCAACTATTACATTGAGTGAAAATTAAAATATTAATTGAAAATGTATCAAGTATAGACATTTGGACACCATAGCTGTGTCTGCAGTAGAGGTAAGCTCACATCCAGAAAGTCTTTCTCCATTTATTCAAGTTTTCACATGTACGTTTTTTAAAGGTTTTATAATTTCCTTTATAAAGGCATGTATTTCTTATTGGATTTGTTCCCAAAGCATATCTTGAAAGACCTTTGTTCCATCTGCCTCCCCTTTCAGTGTCTCCTTGAAAAACTTCCTCCGTCTTTGTTGCTTTTTTGTTTGTTTGAAACAGGATCTGCCTATGTAGCCCATGCTGCCTCTGAGATTACAGGCATGCCCTTCATGCCTGGCACTTTTATTGCTCACTTTTGTTCTGACAACTACCAACTTGATCCCACAGTCCTGGTCTCTGTCAGTTTACTGCTGGGGTTCATTTTCCATTTCTTAGAGCCAGTGCCGGGATAATGTCACCTTTCCTGTCATGGCAGTGGGCTTCCAGGCAGCTGGGGCTGGGAAGGATGGTGATTACTTGTAAATGGGTCATAAAATCCATCAGGTTGATCACCCCTGTTAGAATAGCCATCATTAGCAACACCACTAACAACAGTTGTTAGTGAGGATGCAGGGGAAAAAGAAACCCTTGTACACTGCTGGTGGGAACGCAAACTAGTAGAACCACTCTGGACAAAAATTTGGAGGCTTCTTAAAAATCTAAACATAGATCTACCATATGATCCAGCAGTACCACTCTTGGGGATATACCCAAAAGAATGTGACACAGGTTACTCCAGAGGCACCTGCACTCCCATGTTTATTGCAGCACTATTCACAATAGCCAAGTTATGGAAACAGCCAAGATCCCCACCACTGACGAATGGATTAAGAAAATGTGGTATTTATACACAATGGAGTTTTACTCAGCCATGAAGAAGAACGAAATGTTATCATTCGCTGGTAAATGGATGGAACTGGAGAACATCATTCTGAGTAGGCCTGGCCAAAAGACCAAAAATTCTTATGTTCGCCGCTTCATATGGGACATTAGAGTCAAGTGCAAAACACAAACAAGGGGACTGGACTTTTGATCACATGGTAAAAGTGAGAGCACACAAGGGAATATGAGATAGGTAAGACACCTAAAAAACTAGATGCATCTGTTGCCCTTAACCACAGAGAAACTAAAAGCAGGTACCTTAAAGCAACTGAGGCCAATAGGAAAAGGGACCAGGAACTAGAGAAAAGGTTAGATCAAAAAGAATTACCTAGAAGGTAACACCCACACACAGGAAATCAATGTGAGTCAATCTGTATAGTATCCTTATCTCAACCAGCAAAACCCCTTGTTCCTTCCTATTATTGCTTATACTCTCTCTACAACAAAATTAGAGATAAGGGCAAAATAGTTTCTGCTGGGTATTGAGGGGGAGCGGGAGGGGGTCGAGTGGGGTGGTAAGGAGGGGGTGGGGGCAGGGGGGAGAAATGAACCAAGCACTTGTATGCACACATGAATAATAAAAGAAAAAAAAAAAAAAAAAAAATTTATGCACAACCTGTTTGAACCTCTGCTATATTTCTACCTATCTGGATCTACAACAGACATTTTTTTCAGAGTGTTAATTCCTTGCTCTTTGTAGTGCTTGGTTATTCTGGTTCTTCAGCTAGATAAAGAGGTTGGTCTGGGGAGATTGACAGATAATAAATCTCCACATCTCACTGCCCCCCAGCTCCCCCCTCCCACACTAGTCAATCTGTACAACCACAGATGTCACCTCACTTAACTCAGTTGACATATTCACTCAGCTAAGTTTGAGTCTGCTTATGCATCAAGCACTAGAAATCTAAAAGTCAAGCCTAATTTGCCTTCTAAATGGTTTCCCTACCCTCTGATGCCCTCCAATCCTTCCTCTTCAGTGCTGCTCAAAGTGGTGTTTCTCAAAAGCACTGAGTGTCTTTTCCTCGCTGAGATCTGTTCATGGGGCCCCAGTACCCAGGGTTGACACCTGCCTCCTTAGTCGGGTACCTGGGGCTGAGGCACTCACAGGGCTGCACACCCAGATGTCCCTATGTGCCTGACTTATCCTCCTGGCACACTTCCTTCTGTTAGGTCCTGACATGGGCCTTGCCCCTAAGGAAAGCACCCTGAATTACAACAGTTCAAGTTCATTTCTCTTCTCTGTAGTTTTTCCTTGACTTTATATTTGCACCTGTCCTGATTCATTCATTCATCCAGCAAGTATTATTGAGTGTCAGGCTGGGAATATAGCAATGAAAGAGGCAGACAATGTTCCCTGCCCACTTAAGAGAGACAAGTAGTCAGATGAATAGGAGGGTGGTTCAGATGGGGAGATGAGCTCTGAAGAAAACCAGAAGATGGGGCTGGGTAGGATGTCCTTAGAGCATTCATAGAAGTCTTCTCTGAAGAGGAGTCCTCTCTGCTGAGCTCTGAACAGCCAGTCCAGGTAGCCTTGGAGGCCTCTGGGAAGAGCTAGGTGCTGAGGAAACAGCTCTAGCAAGTGCCCTAAGGCAGAAAGAGGGCAGCCCAAGCCCCTGTGACTAGAGCCAAGAGGAGGAGGTTGGATGGAGTAAAAGATGAGGTCAGAAAATCAATTGGGCTGATGGCTTGATGACCATGGCATACAGGCACCAGAGAAGTTGGGCTGTCATTTCTGAGGGCAGCAGGAAACTTGGGAGGTTTAGGCAGGAGAATCACATGTAGTACATGTGTCTACGCTACACTGTGATCATTTGCATCCCATCTCTGTTAGACTGGGAGCTGCATGAGGACAGTTACTCTGCAGATCTCCAGGACAGAGCCCGGAGGACTTGTCAGTGAGTGACTGGAGAGTTCATGAATGAACAATCTGTGTTTTCCTTTGATGTGCTCTATGTAAGTGACAGAGTCATTAACACCATTTCAGTACTGTTTTCTGTAGAGTAAAATCTGATCATGCTGCTTCGAGGACACTCTGTGTCACAGCGCTTTCAAAATTCCAGGGTATTATTATATTCTGGATGTTCTTTTTGCGCCTTTTGAAGTGGACCACAGAAATGTTAATCTCCATGACCAGAAAAGAAGGGAAGGCCTTGACATTTAAAAACGTGAAAACCCTAACTAGAGTAAAATCTTACGATAAGACACATAGACTGAGCACAGTGGCTTCTGCTCTTAAAAGGAGGCAGACTAAAGTTTACACCATGTGGCATTGTGGGGACCAGGGTAGGGGCAGGGGGCAGCTACTTCCTGATAACTTGGGGTTTTCATGGTTCAACTTAAGGGCAGTTGTGTAGTTCAATTTCACTGTCGTTACTCTGTGGTCTTTGAAAATATGAACTTTTTTTTAAAAAAAATTAACTGTACAATAATGTCACCTTGCATTTTTCACAATTGCCTTTTTGAACCTGATAACCTGATTTAGGTGAGCTTTTACTATAGATAGTATTGTTCTGTTTTAATTTTTGATTTCTAACTTATAGCTATTTTCTACTAAGTCCTGAGTGGTTTTTTTTGACTCTGTTGGAAAGCCTAGGTTATACCTGCCTGTGTCTCCTTAAATAAAGTTTTTATTTTGGAGATAGGGTCCAGGCTGGCCTCGAACCCACTGTGTAGTCCAGACATGCTCTAATGGTGTAACAGCCCCTGTCTTAAGAAGGATCCTTTGTGATTACTGTTTTCCCCACTTTCACTTAAAAATTACTCTGCAGGTAATAGAGGGGATTAAAATGTGGTATACCAAGTATGTTTGGACATTTTTAAAGAAGAAAATATTTTTCTCTACAGAGACTTCAGCAACACAGAAACACTGTGTAGTGAGCAGAAATATTACTGTGAAACGTGCTGTAGCAAGCAGGAGGCCCAGAAAAGGTAGGCAAATGACTCAGCCTGGGTGGATTTGTGTCATGAGAAGGAACCAGACTACGGGGCATAACTGGTTTGCTTTTGAGCCTCATCTTCATGCAGCTTTGGGGGTCAATTACCTTCCTCAGCAGTAAAATCTGGACAAGAATGCTGACCTTGGACAGTTGTCCATTTGTCTGTTTGGTCATTCCTTCAGTCTTCCATTTAACAAATAGTGAGTACTGCTTCGTGCCCGATTCTGTGCTGGGTAAACGAGTGGGGATCAAATATAATCATCACCCTCTTGGGAATTAAAGATAAATTATGTGAGGTGCTTAGCACAATACATAACATACACCCAATTTTTTTTTTTGCATTAGATATTGGGATATCTTATTTACAGCTAGATATTTAAAACATCTGTGATTTCATGAGGTATTGTGAGGGAATCAAGGACATTTCAGTTGCAGGGATAGGTGAGAAGAAGGTTATTGTGTTCTGAATTCACACAGGATCCAAGGCTCCCCATCTTCTTATCAGCACCTGCCAGTTATAGCTCTTGGACAGTTGGAGATAACCAGGTGTTCCCCATCATCTGCCCCAAGAAGCAAAGAAGCTTGACAGTTTAGTCATCCTATAAAACCTTCCTACAAGTGAAATTTATCATGCTGGTGGTTCTGGAATTTTCAAGGTTGCTCGTAGAGGCTCAATACTGCTATGTAAAAACCCTCAGGAGTCTAGACCAGAAATTGAAATAATTTCTCTGTTCATCTCCCCAGCCCACACATCACTGCATCAAAACTTGCAAAAGGTCAGCTGGTTGTAGCAGGCCACAGTGGGAACTCACCTCTGCTTCCCAGCCAAATAGTCTCATTTGCCTAAGGCGTACCAGGTCCGCCTATGTGGCATGAAGGTGTTTTCTGTTCGGTCCTGGAGATTTTATACTTGAAAATGTCATGTGCTTCTATAAATTGTGGTTCCCTATAATTCTTATTTTTCTTCTGTTTTTATTTTGCTTATTTTTATGAACAGAGTCTCACCTTAGTAGATTCCTTTAATAAATTTTCTCTTAAAATCAGTCCTTTTCAAACAATATGCATTGAAAATGTACGCAGTGAACAGCACTTACAGTAATTCAGCACATTCTTAGCATGGCGGACCTGAGAGATATCTGGGAGTCCTCTTTCCTAGCAGTATTACTGTTGTGACAGTTTACCAAGGAGCATTAATGGTCATGTAGTGAAAAGACCTTTGTGTTTATGTAAGCTTGTGACATGCTGCTTCCAACAAACCAGAACAGTTCTGTTATTGCAGGATTTCTCTAAACCTTAAGTGCATGAATGTACACAGAGGCCTTCAAATAGGCAGTAGCCTTGTCCAAACTTGGCCATAGGAATCCCACACTTTCAACTTAGCTGGGGAAATGTAGCCCTAAGGCAGCCCCTATATTTTATAAATGAGGAAAGTGAGAACCATTGAAGGCGACTGACTTGACCAAGATCACAAATTAAAGAGTGAATGTGAGCCTGGCACCCTCAGTGTTGATGCCCAGGTTTTCGGGCCAGAAACATCTTCTTGCAAGCCCTTAGAACCGGAAGTTCCGGTCTGCATGCTTGGGCTTTGTCCTCTTTTCAACTTCTTCTCCTAACCTCTCAGCTCTCATGTGCATATCTTAGGAGTTGGATTATCCAAATATTTTCCATTCTGGGAGGCAGAGGGCAGTGTCAGAGAGCAATTATACATCATGCTTTTTATTGGTACACAAATTCTGGAGTGTCTGCTTTGATCAAACACAGGCACACTATTGAACTTTCCTCTTGCTGGCAGGCTCCAGGTACCCAAATATGTAGGAAGTCAGTCTCACAAGTGAGCACATTTTCCTTCTTGTGAGCTTTTTGGTTATTTGCTAGACCCTCTCCTGTTTTTGTTTGTGCAGGTGACCGTGTATTCTCTTTCCCTAAGAGGCTTTAGGTACAACTAATTTTCTGTTTCATGCTTTTTTAGGATGAGGGTAAAAAAGCTGCCCATGATTTTGGCCCTGCACCTAAAGCGGTTCAAGTACATGGAGCAGCTTCACAGGTACACCAAGCTGTCTTACCGGGTGGTCTTCCCTCTGGAGCTCCGGCTCTTCAACACCTCCAGTGATGCCGTGAACCTGGACCGCATGTATGACCTGGTCGCTGTGGTTGTTCACTGTGGCAGGTAAAGGTGGGTCAGGAAGCAGGTGCTTCCTGAGAAGCATAGGGATTGTCTTGTGGACATAGACTCAGCTGCACCCTCACTGGGTTGTGACACTCAGTACTTTTGGAACTGTCATCCAAACATTTGATTGCCTCAGAATATACAGATGTGTTGTTTAACAATAGAGATAAGTCATAAGAAATGTGGGAGCATATGGTTTCATCATTTTGTGAACATAATAAAGTATATAGCGTGCACTTACACAAACTAAGTCTGTGACATCAGTAGGTTGTGTTAGTCACTTTTTATTACTGTGATAAAATCCCTGGGAAAATTAACTTAAAGGAGGAAAGATTTATTTTAGCTTATAGTTTCAGAGGTTTCTGCCTGTGGTGAGGCACAAACATAATAACAGAAAGGCCTGGTAGAAGAAACCTCATTTTATGGCAGCCAGGAGGATGCTTTAAACTTCTAGGTATAGGTTCTGTCCTATACATAGAGAGGGCTGGCCTATGCATGGGGAATGGGTGGGTTCCTGAGGTTTGATCTCTTATTTCCTGGGTTCTGTACTAGGATCTGTCAATACCACAGTGAACATGACACATGTTATGGAGCCCTTCCCTCATGAAACTTTGGATATGGTGGGAAAGGTAGATAATGGGCAAGTGAGTACAAATCTGCACCACCAAAACCAAAACTCTGCTAGGTAATTTAGGATGTCGATTGATGCTCTGAGGAATAAACAGGGATTTTCTCCCCTAGAGAGTCACTGCTGACAAAGAAGTAAGCAGAGTTTTGTAAAATAAATGTTGGCTGCTAACTTTCTTGGATTTGTTCTTTTCTAGTGGTCCTAATCGTGGGCATTACATCACTATTGTGAAAAGTCACGGTTTCTGGCTTTTGTTTGATGATGACATTGTAGAGGTTGGTATGCAAATTCATCTCCAACAGGCATGCAGTGTAGCTGATACTGGGGGAGTCTACTGTGAACATTTTCTGAAATATGCCTGTTTGCCCATAATCCTACTTGAAAACACTTTACATTTTTATCAAAACTCAATTTTGCTGACTGCATTCTCCATGGAAAGGGAGAGGAGCAGGATTGTGGAATTATTCCTACTGTGTTCTTGTTAACTGCTCGGCCACACACACATGTAGTATCTCTGAATCTCAGGCCACCTAAAATCACACTGATACATAAGTCCCGTTTCTTGCTGTGACGAAAGTCCTTTCTGGTGCAGGGCAAATAATAGCTTTCAGAGTCCTGTTAAAATTCTGGTAAGAAATTTTTATTGTATTGATTATTGTTGAAAAATATATATTTTTGTCTGTGGGGCCCTGGACACCAAAGCATTGCATACAGATTTTTTTTTTTTTTTTTGGTGAGGTGACTTCGATACTCAAAGACATGACCTGAAAAAAAACAAAAAAAACAAAGACATGACCTGCTTTAACCTACTAGCGTAACTCTTGCAGGAGCTTCACAGCAAAGGAAATGAACTCTTTTGGCCTGAGGGAACTAAGGGTACGCCCAGGCCCTGCATGTGCTTTTTGAAAGACAATTGCTGGTTTCTTCCAAGAGCATTTGTGTATGGTTGCTGATAGATAAAATGGTGACTTTCTTTCCAGCCATTTGCAAATTATGTAATGATGTCCTTCTGTCAAGTCTATGGAATTAACTATTTGCTATCAAAAGTTCCTAGTTTTGCAGACATATTGCTCAATGGTAGAGTGCTAGCCTTACAGGCACGAGGCTCAGGGTTTGATCTCCAGCATCACAAATATACACCTAAAACCAGTTCTTAATTGTGACTTATAATAATCAGTGTTTCTCACATTTTATTGTATATTCTGTTCGTTTTTCTTTTTCTGGGACTCCTGGTAAATAATTGCATTGTTTTATTTTTCCTTCATTGCAGAAAATTGATGCTCAAGCTATTGAAGAATTCTATGGCCTGACGTCAGATATATCAAAAAATTCAGAATCTGGATATATTTTATTCTATCAGTCACGAGAATAACTTAAAAGAACTGTGGACTAATTCCAGTGGGGGAGAACGTTCAAAGCACTATTATCCAGTTTCTCTGCAGACCTCCTTCCCCAGCGGCCCACTGATACGACTCTGAGTCTCAATGGTCTGACTGTGTTAAACTTTGTCCCTTTGTTTTTTTACATGCAGCACTACTCTTGGTTTTATTTTGGTCTGAGGTAGAGTTAACTGCAATCAGATTGTAGTAAGAGTTATATGAATAACAGTTGCTAAGTTTAGAATTTGGGTAAATGCTATGACACTCCTTATGTGTGACTGAATTAGAATGACATTTCCTATGAATGACCCAGGTCATTCTGGTATTAAAACTTCCTAAATGGCATCGGGGGTCCTTTCCAATGCATTCCCCTTAACGTGTCCTGGAAGCATTGCTACCCATTTTTAACATGCCTATCTTTTCGGGCAGAGGGACAGAAGAACTGGGTGGATGTTCACCTTTTAGGGCTGCAACTATAGCTTTAAGTTTGTGCAAGTGAAAGTGTTTCAGAGTGAATAACCTCAATACTAAAAAGCCACCCTCCACGGGATGGAGTGAAGAAAGGCTGGTGTTGGTGGTGAGCGTCCACTCCAGGCTGTGCTTTCACAGCCATTAGAATTCCAGGGCCTAAGAAACGGAGCTCAGGGCAGGCAAAGCCAAGAGGAAGAAGTTTTTGTGGGTGGTGAAAAATTGCTTTTCTTACCTTTCTACCAAAACCAAGTTTCTGGAAAATAACTCGATGCTGTTAAGTTGTAGTGACACTTTTCTTCCGTAAGGTCCTGTGAGTTGAATTTACCCTGTATCTGACACTGCTGAGCTTTTTAAGCTATCATTGCAATCCCATTGATGTGCAGTCTGTGGTCTTAGGGCTGAAATGACACATGGACTGCCTGTGACACATGTCTCCTTAGCCAGTCAGCACCTGACACCCTTCCATATGAGGAGTAACAAAGCACTGCACCTTGATAACCATCAGCTGCGTCACACAGCTTAATTTTTTAAGTTTACTGAGGCGCTGGTGGGTCTCAGGGCTAACGATGAACCTCTGTAGAGGGAATGCTGGAGTTAGCTACATGTGAGTTGAGTCACAGGAAGTGTTAGTGGGTATGTGGAGGAATGAACAAGCTGGCGGCTGTTTCTCTGGCTCAGACTCCTAGAATGCTTGATACGACAGTTTTTTGGAAGAACCTCATCTCACTCTACTTACTTTTTTCACTTTCGTTATATATGTATTTATTAGAGCATTTGAGAGTATTGGTACCTTTTGCTAAAAAGGGTCAATTTGGTGTTTTGCTGTTGAGCTGTTTTTTGGTTTCCTACAAATGCTATGAGTCATAGATCTTGGCTTCCTTCAGGAATTCAGTGGAATTCCATACACTATAATATACTGTGAACATGTTATTTTGTTACCTAATATATCAGCAAATGAACATGCAAACTCTTGACGCATAATGTGAACTAAAACTGAAATAAAAAATGTTAGTGGCCATTTTGCAACCATGAAGAGGATAGCACTTTATCTAGATGAAAACTGGATTTCTTATTTTTGAAATATCTTGAATTGTTTATTGCTCAGAACTTAAAGCATGCCAACACTTCATTTGTTCATGCTTGAAGTTACATGTTTTATTCTTCACTGGAGAAGACAAAACAGGGTGATCTTCATGTTATTGTTTTATACAAGTGACACAAATGTACCTTGCCTTGGTTAGAGGCAAATTCATATTTATAAGTGTTTTGTCTTTTTTTTTTTTCCTCTATAAAATGTTCAGTAATCACTTACCTGGGAGGTGAGTCTTTATTCTTTAAGGAAAGGCACTTTCCAGTTGAAGGTCATTCTTACAGGGAAATGTTTGTACAACATATAACCCACATATAAGACTGCAAGTTACAAAGTTTAAGAAAATGATGGTCAATCTCTAATATGTTGGAATTGATTCATAAGAAAACTATTAAAATTGTCTTTGAAACGACTCTGGAAGCTAATTTGTTAGACAAAAAAGTTTCAATTGGAAGCCTGTAGAAGTAATTTTCTTTATTTTTTGAATATGTAAAGAGATTTTCCCAGTGATTTCACTGAAATACTTGCTTTTAATAGAGTCAGTTAAAATTCAGCATTCATGAATAGATTTTTGGGATTAAAAGAAAGATAAATGTGGAGAATATTGCACAGATATTCAAATAGTTGTGAGATATAGGAAAAGATTTGGAGAAAGACCAAACATATGTCTCCATCAACACTCCATTAGGTTTTTAAAATTTAGAGCTATCTGGTAATTCCTTACTTTTTCTTCTTCAATAAACAGAACAAACATTAGGCAGCTACATTTTTCCCCCAACCATTTGCTTTTATGTAAAAACAGTAGCATGCAAACACATTCTTATTTTCTATCACTCATTCCTAGTATAAAGCAGACAATGGTATGGGATATGTGAGACCTTTCCAAGGTCACAACAATGGCACAAAGGCTCAGCAGTGTTTCCTCCCATAACCTGGGGACTTCTGTGTCCTTTTTCAGCAGGAGTGAGAAGGCCTGCTGTATTTCTTTTAACTGCTGGATGTTTAAAAATCAGTTATAGTGTTTTACACTTTAAAAAGAAGAAATATTTGCTTTATTGGTTGCTTACTAGTTTAGCATCTAGATTATGGATCAGTATGCTAATAAGTTAATTTAAAAACAAATTTTGGTAAAAATGGTAACATCCAGTCCTATTATGTTAATGCATTTTTCCCTTCCAAGGCAACTTGAAGTGGATTGGTTTGAAGAGAGCAAGGACTAGCACAATCAGGGTATTGATTTGAATAGGAAACCAATCATACTTGGTTTTATGGCCTGGTTATATTTTGGATTTAAGATGAAATGAAATGGTCCCTATGCATTTATTTTCTTGGATACCCTTAATTTCACGGACATGCCTAACGAACTATGTTCTAACTGGTGCGTAGGGCTTATTTTAGATATTGGAGTGTAGCTTTATTACAGATGGATTTTATCTTTAAACATTGCATTTTGATCAACTTTGTATATTCATGTGTATTAAAATATTGTGCACTAAATGTTTCCCTCTGGTTTTCTATTATCTGGTCAAGGTGTTTATCACCATTCTTGTGGCTTACTCATACAAATGGCACGAGTCAGGAAGTTCTTTCCTATTTTTCTGCCTAATTAAATTTCTGTTTTCTAGTATTACATTAATTTATTTTTGGCTCCCATTTCTGTATATCCAAAGTAGTTACTGTAATTTGTGTGGCATTCACTTGATTGTGTTGCTTAAAAAAAAAAAGAGACTTGTAGTTTTTATTTAAAATGATCTGTATCTTAGTTTTTTTTTAATGTAACCCATTCAAGCACCTTAAGCAATAATGTCAATCTCGTGAAATTTCAATCAGTTTAATACCCTGCCTCTAAAATTGTTTGCAAAAAGATACAAATAAATAAAATAGGAATTTTCTTCCTAGAGAATTATATCCAGGTACTGTTACGCTTGTGGACCTAAAATCCTTTTTAGCAAGTGTGAGTCAGTGGTGGATCTCCTGTCCAGGGACTCACTGCAAACTTAATTTTGAAGTAGTAGAAAGGTAAAGATGATTCTGGTCATTGTGATATGTAAAGGCGATGCCGCTGTCAAGGTCGATAAAAATCAGTGTTCTGGAGATGTGTGGGGCAAGAGCACATTGAGAAAACCAGGGGATGACTACTAACTAGACATCGCAACAAATCCCTCGTTTGGGGCTTTACTAGTCACTAAAGGAAAGATCCACTCCTAAAAGAAGGAAGTGGTTTCCAGCTTGGAGGTCCCTTCAGCATCTGGTTTCTAGGAAGGAGTAGGAATGTGGTCCTGGCCCCCTGATCTTGATCTGTCTGATCTGTGGGAACCACAGCTTCAAGAATCCACAGCTGGATGCACTCTACACCCTACCCAGAAAGTAACTGTTGTAGGTCCTTGCCCTGCAGTCTCAGAGTTTATCCTACAGTTATCGTAGCCAGGGCTTCTTTTCCGAGTCGGTCACTTTGATGGGCCTGTGTGTAGACCAGAAGCTGTCATCTGTATGTGTGTGGACCAAGTTATGCAATACTGACCAAGAGCAAGAGGGACTGTACCATTAGGTGGTGAATCTCTTGGTTCCTGCCATCTTCAGTTGGGGCGATGCGGTTGAACCTGACTGAGAGGGAACAGAGGCTGTTGGGAAAGTCATCTGCCTGCCAGGAAGGCCACAGGAAGAGAAGACCATCTTGGAAGTCTTAGGAATGGGTTTTACTTTTCTAGGCCATCAATCAGGTGGGGTTTATAGGGTAGGCATGTCACTACCAAGGTAATCATTTCTGGAGAATGAGAAGTGTTCCTCTTTTCTTCAAAATTCCCTCCCTCTTTTCTTTCTTTCTTTTTTTTTCTTTTTTTCTTTTTCTTCTTTAGATCGTTTTTGATAGGGTCTTGTACTTCTGCTTAGGCTGGCTTGGACTATAATCTTACTACCTCCACCTCTGGAGTAAATGGGATGACAGGCCTCCAATACCATGCCTAGTCCTATGTCTTCATTGACACTTAAACACCTTTACCAGGGAATGAAGACTCCCATTCCTATTGCTTTATCTGAGGATAAAAAATCTTTGCTACATTGTTTTCTTTTTCTTGAGGGAAAGTTATGATTATGGGCCCAGTTCTAAAAACAAAGTAGGTAGAGCTGTCCTAAAGATGCCCCAGGTGGAGGAATTTCGAAGCAATTATTGGGCACCTTTTGGGGGTGGACGTTGTGATAGCAATTGGGACTTAGAAGGTAAAGCAGATAGGGTCTTCTTCTCATTTCTTCCCCCAAGGGAAAATGTGTGGAAAAGAAATTTAAATTTTAAGTTGTGGAAATAATGTGGGAATGCACAGGTGCTGGGTGTGGGTGTTACTGTGCAGATGGCATTGTGACATAGAGAGGCTCATTCCTTCCTTCCTTGGAATTTCTTCCCTGCTACATTTGGCATTGCCTTAACCTACCTTCTAACTCCTATGAACACACAAATTTAAAAATGAAGAAATAAATCCACAGGTTGCAGCAATGAACATGAGTGTCTCACCTCTTAATTCTCATGGTAAAAGAGCCAATATGTTGAAAATCCTAACAGTAGATTTTATGGAATCACATACTAAACAATCTATTTATATTATTACCAAATAATTAGAGCCTATTCAGACATAGCAAAATAACTCAGGGCACAGGAGTCTTAAAACTGACTATTGGTTTTAGTGGCTTAACCTGTGCTGGCACTTTTAGGTGCCTGATTTAAAGTGCTTTCAACCAAACACATGAGCAGCTTACAAATAAATGAAAGGTAATTTCATTTTTACTTGAGAGACCAGAGTTAGAAATGACATTACATTTTGTAAAGAGGATTCCTAATTTTGTGCCCATTCCCCCATGTGGTTTTGGGTTTGTTTCTTTGTTTCTGGGGATTGAACTCAGGGCCTTGGGCTTACTAGGCAGGTGCTCTACCACTTGAGCCATGCCTCCAGGCTGTAATTGTAATAAAATATTAACCTTGGACTATCATATTCAAGTTATAAATTTACAGCTGCATTTTTCACTTTTTTGTCTTCCAGGAGAACATAGAGATTGTGTGTAAAGCATGTGGAATTCCACAGCTCATCATGGGAAAGGTTGGGCAAGTGTGGAAGGTTGTGGTCCTCTTTTGTTCTTACCCCCTTGTGATAGCAGAGGGCTTAGAAATGAAAAGGGAGACCTGGATAAGACTTGACTGGAAGGAAAATGGCTTGATGGATGGTTGGAGTCCTCTCCTGTGGAACCAACTCAACTATAATTATATTTTAGAGCCTCTGTTAGTGGACCTTGCCTGAGAGAACTTTGTGCACTGAGTCAACTCAAAAAAGAGAAACAAGAGTTTGGGGTGGGGGGGTTGGTACCTTCTGCAGCAAGCTAGGTTTCTGCACTTTAGAGTTCATCCATCTCTAGATTGAGAATTTCTGGTTTTTACTCTGAGGGGACTTAGAAAGATACACTGTACTGGAGATTGAACTCACACTTACTAGGCAAGTGATTACCACTTGAGCCATGCCCCCAATCCTTTTGCTTTTAGTTTGTTTTTCAGATAGAATCTCTCTCATTGGCCTCAGACTGTGATCCTCCCACCTCTGCCTCTCAAGGAGCTGGGATTACAGGTTGTACCATCATGCCCAGACAGAAAGATAATGAGTTATGTAAACTGTATGAAGAGACACAATTGCTCTCCCATGATGAATTGTTCAAAAACTCTTTGGAAACTATTTAAAAAGAAATAACTTCTGCATATTTTTCTACCCGCTACCCCAAACCCCAGAGAGGACACCACAAGTATAAATTGCTGACCTAGGTATGTTGCTGTGCCAGCTTGGATGTAGAAGGCTTCATCAGAAGTAGGGGAGGCAATAGAAAGGACAAAATCTTCCAGGATGTTCACCAGTTGATGTGGACTTTAAGTGACAAGGCGTCTGAGGGGCCTGTAGTGGTTTGTGAAGGATGAACTCACCGTGGGACCATGCTTAGATGAGAATTTGTACAGAATGTGGATGGATCTGAAAGTTAAGAGGAGGCGAATGAGGGGCTCCTTGCAACACCTGCCCCAATGTTCATTTGTCCTATGGAGTTAGATGGGATTCAGCTCAACCCC